TATATCTTTATGGCACGAAAATACAATTTTGTCGAAAAAACTATCTCCATTAATTAGGAGACAGTAGTCTTCGTGCCTCCGTGTCACGGAGACCATGAAACCTTTTTTTTTTTTTTTAATATAAATCCACCCCTGCTATTAGTATGTTTTACTATATGTGTAAACAAAAAATATTAGATTTGTTTGAAATATTAATTTTTGAACATTTTTAATTATAGTTTTTTTAGTATACAAGATGTGTTAAAAAAATTATATTTCCCTGAAAATATTTATTCTTAAATAATTTTACGATTAATAGTACTTTATTTTAGTATACTAGATGTGTAAAATCAAATGAAAATATTAATTCTTGAATAATTTGACACTTACTTATAGTATGTTTAGTATAGAAGTTGTGAAAAAAATAATTAGATTTGTTTAAAAATATTAATTTTTGTATAATTTATATAGAAGTCTTTAGAATACGTTCTCTCTCCAGAACAATGATTTTCTACTACCATCATTCAGTATCTAAATCCTGAATACTTTAAAGATTTTGTAGAATTCATAGATGTAAATCAATAATATTCTTTGATGTGTAGTAATTTTTATGGATTTATTTATAGAGTTGTTTTCAGAGGGGAAGAAGAATAATTTACTAGTAAGTTGGTATACGAATTTATAATGAGAGTTGTACATTGTGACAAAAATAATGAACTTTGGGTACGGTTAGATGACCATTTTGCTAGGTTTGGCATGCAAGAATTTTACGTCATTATTGGATTACTTTGCCATGAACCATCCATAGAAATTGATTATAATAACGATTGTCTTAAAAATCAATACTTCAATGGCGCAAATCGAATTAGCAATAGAATGCTTTTTGAAGCTTTTCACATGTGTGAAGATGAAGAAGATCAATTTAAGCTGGGATTAGTTATGTTGGTTGAGTGTGTGTTGAAATCGATTTCAAGACAAATTGATTATAGAACTCTGGGCATGGTTGAACATCTTGATGAGTTCCTTATGTATTAATGGGGCCGTAAAACATATTTCATTTTGTTAAATTCATTGAAAGAGTCACAATTGAAAAGAATACTAAGTATGCAACAGAACCAACAAACAGAATGTAAGTATGCAGTACAAGGCTATCCACTTGCATTTCAGGTATTTTGTTCCTATTCTAATTATTAACGTATTATGTATAATTTCTTTGTACAAAGAATAAATTATATACATCACATTTATTTTTAATTATGTTGCAATATTGGATATATGAAGCGTTTCCAAAGATTGGACAAAAGTTTGGTCGCTGTATATACAAAACGGTGCAGATTCCAGGAATGTATAATTGGAGGCCTAATATAGTACTCAAGGAATCGAATGTTAAGGAATTTTTGGATACTGAAGATGTATGAATTTTTTCTTTTCAATGTAGAATGACATTCACATTTAATTATTAACAAGTTCAATTCAACAAATTGATTATGATAGTTTGTTAAGATTACAAATCGAAGTCATTGCAGTGCTGCAGCCTACGGAAGAAGAATTACAAACACCGTGGTACACAAGTCTTTCACTGCCTGACAATGAACATAATAAATTAGATGCCATTGTCAACGGAGAATTAGATAATATAGTACAACCAATACAGAATAACATCCGTGTGCAAAAACGACCAGTCATGGTACATCGAGAATTTCAACTGGAGTTGGGCCTAGTTTTGTTTCTGGTGCCTCCAGATATATAACTAAAGATCGAATGAAAGAAATGTTGGGTATATACAGACATCATACAATATCATATGTGTCCGGTCTATGTGGCAAGTTGAAGGCAGAATTTGTTGAAGAATCAAGAGCCCTAAACCATGCGATCCTTGAAAGTCAGTTGTTCGAACAACATAACAAATTGTTGCAAGATTACATGCAATGTGGTATGCATTCATATATGAATAATTCTCTATCAAGTTTGTTTAACATTTATATTGCCTAGGAATCGCAGAAACAAGAAGCCCATTATCAGGCAATTCTCCAAAAGCAAGAAGAATTATTCCAACAGCAACAAGAGCACATGCAGTCTTATGTTGATACAAGTTTATGTTCTGTAAGATCTTACATTGATGAAAAGAATGAAAATATGCTAAACAGATTATTTAACTGAAAATCCAACATGGAAGCCATTATAGGTTCCATGCAGCAGGATATTTCTCCCCATGCGAGTCCAAATCTTACTGATCAACCACAACAACGTCTCAACCAATAGAAAGTGTTGAAATGTGGAGAAAAGAAAGGGAAAGCAAGATAAAATACACACATTCTTCGTCATCCACAGGCCGTCCTTTAAAAGACCACGACATTAAAAAGTATAAAAACATTAGAAACTGGATATCTAGAAATCAATCTGGGTAACAAATTTAACTCATTCTTAATCATTTGAATACTAAACATTATTATATCAATGCAAAAATTCTCTGTTGATTTATTCGACAGTACTTTAAATTATGTTATACAGTACATATTTGGACGATGGCAGTGGCAATGTCTATGGAAGAGACATGCTAAGAGCTTTAATGGATCTGACGAAGGATCTGAATATTGCGGTGAGTGAATGTTAGCAATGACAATCAATTTGATTTCATAGTTAATATATCTAATAAATGTTACATGTATTTATTCATTAGCATATTGAGTTGGAGCTGAAGTTATTGAGGCGACATATGAATGAAGGTTGTACTCTCGTCAATAAACAATATGCAATTTTGGACTTTCAATTTGAAGAGGAGTGTTTTCATCAAATGAGGTGGCATTGGACTTTCGAATGGAAAACTAGAGAGGTTAACTGGATGGAACTTGCCTATAAGACTACGTCAATGGTAGACTGCCTGTAGTTGGTTGTCTGTGGATGTGATGTAAGTGTTTATTAATTCCAAGCTAATATCCAGGCAATGAATGTTATCTTTTTCTGATCAATATTCTTGAATGGAAATTCTAGATATACGACTGCAGTAATAATGTTCACACACTAGATGCAATCAAGGCACACGTAGAAGCAACATGCACTATAGTTCAAGGATTATTACAGTGTTCACCCCTTTCCACAAGACGAGATATAAATAAATATAGAAATGAACGAATGAAGTAGGAGATTATACCATATCTATCATGTGCAAATAATGGGTGAGCATTTCAACTCTTGTTATTTACTACCGTAGTTAATTTATCGTATATACTAATTTTGACTAACGTAAAATCATTTCTTGTACATGCCAAATTGCGTAATGTTTGTACTCAAATATATAGAATGCTTCGTTGTAGGGCATCCAATAGAATCAATTTCAGCAGACAGGATATCACTATACAGACGAAAGATTACAATAGATCTTTGTCATAACGAATACTTTCTTCATCTTCAATAGTGAAAAAGTCGTAGTGGCTAACTGTACTTTGATTGTGTGACCGTTGATTATTTTTATCACCGGTGTCCATGAACGGTTGTTCATTGCTATATTTATGTATTTTTTTATGCTCGTACTGTCATTCTAGACAAAATGTAATGTCAAGTGTCAAGATATGCAGACATGTAATGTGGAGAACTACATGCAAAATGTCAAGAAATGTATGAAATGTCGAGACATGTCTCGTTTCCTTTTTTGGTACAAATGTCAACGCGATATCTAATGTAAGTTTAAGTGTTAAAAGATCGAATTACGAATGTCGATACCAACTATTGAAGTGTTGGAACGACATGAAATGTCATGAATTGCATCGATTTGTACGTTTTGTTCAACATTTTCATACTTTTTGGACTATACATTTCCCAATAAATATTATTTCAAGCATTAACAATGGAACGAAAATGGGCGAAATGGAGGCTAAGATTGACGGACAGGACAAGCAGGAGTTATTATGGGGACACAACATGTCAATCAAATGTAAATACAAGTAGGTGGAGTTGGTGTGATTACATTTTAATGCAGTAATGCACACCTCAGTGTTCACTATAAAATAATGAAATTGGCTTCAATATGCAAGCATGTTTCTTTGAACAAAATATTAACGTGAACAAGTTCTTCAGGTGAATATGTTTTCATCAACTGAACGGACTCCACATATTGCTGTTGTCATGAACGTATCCGTACCCAGCTCTTCAGCGACCAACCCCATCATCATCGACTCAGAAGACAATGAAGAAATCAATGTCGTTGTTCCATATATTCCTCAATCAGCGAACCACCATCGTAGGGTTTGCCTTCACCCCATTCCATTCCCTAATCTAATCGATGAAATTGAGCGACTGCATATTGGAGATGGTAATCATAACGTCGATCGTGAGAACGTACCAATGGAGGTCCCATAGGAAGCAGACCAAGCTTTGGTGGACAACAACTTCTCGGTGATTTCGATCAGAAATGATGACGTGATAGTGATAAGCTCGGACGACGACGATGACAATGACAGTGTTATGTCTTCTTTGTCCATTATGGAGGACATGTATAAGGTAGTATATCTATAATGTCTAAGCATATCCAATGACATATTTATAGGTATATGGATAATGGATAATTTTTGTGGTGACAACCAATTTGTATGTGCAGTGACCTCGAACATGCACATAGTGGTTTTCCACTTTTGTTGTGACGACTATTTAGTATGGCCAGTGACATAAGAAAATGAGTCATGCATGACTTTCTTTTGTATCCATTACCAAGTTGTGTATATAATAATGAAGAAAATTGCAGTACTGAAGCAGTTATTAACTTTTGTCTTCATGAAATTACGTGGTAATAAAATCGAACCCTACCGATAACATTCAGAAACGAAATGATAGAAAGCATGTAATGCTCATAAATCTATTCAACACGTAAATAATATATGTTAGCGAATCATTTCATACACAAAATCGAACCCTACCAATTACATTTGGAAAGAAAATGATAGAAACCGTGAAATGTACAAAAATCTATTGAACACATGGATAGTCCATGTTAGCAAATGATTTCAAACACAGAATACATTGGTAATTCAAGTGCACGTGTTACTTCTTCGTGTCGAGTTCCTACATGTTTGCATATTGTGTCCGGAACCACCACATTGACCACATTTTCGGGTGCTGGTAGACCATGCAGTTCTTGACCTTCTACGTTGGGTAGGAGGACGACCTGGTGCTATACATGTATTTGGAGGCAAAATGTTGATGGAACTAATAGCATTAGGAACAACCCAATCTAACTCCATTCCAACGGGGTAAAGAAGTTCGGTGTAGGAAGCTTGCCAACACTCCGTGGTGTAGTAATGGGAACACAAATCGTACAGTAATATACCTTTTGAGCGCGCAACGCGGGATGCGTGTGCACATGGAATTTGTCGCATTTGAAACTCTCAACATGAACATGTCTTACCTACAAGGTCGATAGTACAAATTTCTGCACCTGTGCCAACCTCGAAAACGAGTTTATCCAAATTTCGTATATCTAAGGTTGCACCGACGTCAAATGATTGTCTCAATTCCCCCTTCATTTTTGATGTCATGGCAGTATGACAGTTAGTAGATGCGTTTCTCCGCTTGAAGAACCATTGTTGCATCAATGTCGTAATGTGTTGGACGAACGAGGTTATAGGAAAACTTTGTTGCTGCCTGAAAACTGAATTCAATGACTCTGCAATGTTATTAGCCATGATATTGTACCGATTACCAACAAAATTTGCCTGTGACCAAGTAGATGGACCAGCACATTCCAAATAAGAAACGACTGTTGGCCAAATGGTCCGAATCTGTCTCATCATTTGCTGGAATTCTGATACGCGGTATGCGAATGCTGCACTTTTGAAAAGGAATATGACATTTCGACTGCTATACCTAGCAATGAGATTTTTCTTGATATACCATATGCAGGTACCATGGTGTAAAAGCGGGAAAAGCATCGTAATTGCTCGCTTAATACTATTTTTCCTGTCGGATACAAACACTAGCTAATTTGAATCATCAACAATATCTTTCAACTTTGTGAAGAACCAATACCATGATGCACTTGTTTTCCCATCAACACCCCCCAAGCAATAGAATATATTTGCATGTTGGCATCATGCGCTGCAGCTACTAGTAGTGTTTCCTTATACCGACCCTTCAAATGACTCCTATCGACACAAATTACCAGCCTCATGTGCTCTCAAAGACCACGTATGCTCGGCCCGAATGCTAAGAAAAAGTAGAATAACCTGTTATTAGGGTCAAGCTCAATGTGTACGATGATTCCTAGGTTTCGCTCAGTTAACATGTGATAGTATGAAAGTAATTTTTGATAACTCTCTTCAGGTGAACCGTGAAGAATTCGAAGTCCCTTCTCTTTACCCTACCACGCTTTACTGTAGCTAAGCGTACACCAAACTCACGTTGTATATCCCCAACAATGCCCGTGGGAACGTATGTTTGGTTTCCATCAGCCAATCATCTGGTAATGTGATGCCCAATCAGTGCACTCGTTGCATGAATTTGAGCACTCCGTCGAACATCCAAAGAACATGTGTGCTCAGGTATGTACCTTCGAATCTTAAAGAAGTTTGTACTTTTTATCTTGGAGGCTCGTAGTAACCAATGACACGTGGTGTTGATGCAGCACACAGTCAGAGATCTGGGATTAGACTTTTTAACCTTGAAATGAAACTTCTCTGTCAAAGCATTTAGTCGAAGTCTTGTATGCAGCTGTTTCTTGGTAAAGAAAATCTGATTCTCATGAATTTCCTGTTGATCGATCGACTGAATTGTATTTTCAATATACAAATTCTCTTCACCTAAACCTACACTCGTGTTATCAATCATTTCTGGCTCTTATAGTTCGTACACACTGACTGCATCGTGTGCATCTTCTATTGGAAAGGACGTGTCATCCCTGACATGCAGTTCCTCCCAGCATCATATTCATCTGCAGTTACACACAAATTTGCTTGTGTGTGAACAGAAATGTACCATTGCAAAGACAACATCAGCAGAGGGTACGTTCATGTTTGGAACTTTATTGAATCCGAAACTGCAGTTTGTCAATATTAAGCTTCTCAAATAATTTATGTACAAACTCTTCATATTCAATATCACGTTGGATAACAATTGATGTTGCTCAGTTGCCTAACCACTTCCACTCATCGTCAATGTTGAAGAATGTACCACCGTAGGAGACGACGAATCTCATAACATCAACCATATCTGCATGCCATAAACAAAAAATAGTATCAACTAATAACGAATACCTCAAATGAATATGCTAATTATCCGCAAGCAATATACAAATTTTTTCCCCTAATTTCGTCATGGTATTTGTAATGTTACTCTCGACATTGTTAAATGACGAGAATGACGTTAAAAGTAACATTCTCGACGTTTGTAATTGTAGAGAACAACATTTCAAGTACTATTCTCGACATCTATAAAATGTCGAGAGTGACATCACATATTACACTTCACCATATGTTTTTATCATCTTCTTCATCTTCAACTATCATTTTTATAAAGAATTTATGCTACAATTAATGACATTTTAACTATAGGAGTACTTTCACTTATTTTGTAACTAAGTAATGTAAGAAAGTTATGACAAATATCTACTACTTATTTTGACAATCTACCATATTGAAATCAAATATATAACGACAACTATGACAAACCACTTCTCAATAAACATCAAATAACAAAGAAAAATACCTTCTGCCCATAAATGAGAAGAGCCTAGAAAAATACCTTCTGCCCATAAATGAGAAAAGCCTACTCGAATTCAAATTTGTATGATATTAAATCTATCGCTATAAACAAATTATTTCTTCTTTTCGAGTACAAACCATAGATTTTTTTTTGGTTGTAATGCTTGTGAGAAACCATAGATCTTTAAATCACATTTGGAAGGCTATTTCATGTTTTTCAATTTTCCAAAAATAATTTGTTAATATCTAAAGAAAAGTGCAGGCAAGTGGACGAGTATGGGTAATAGCAACAATTATTGTGGCTTTTCAAGGAAGTCATTACTCTTATCAATATTTGTGTCAACTTGTAAAAGAAAAGTTGAGAATTATCTATTCTTTCATTAAAGGTAAAATGAAGAATTTGATGCCAAATCTGGCCATTTTCGTAAAGATTATCAAAAGTGGACATTTTTGAATTGAGATATGTAAAATTGGACATTTTTGCAAATCCCTCAAATAAAAAATGGGACTATTCTTTATACTCATAAATTTGAAATATCTTGACCCTTAATATATGTTATTTCAATACTTATGTATTTCACTAAAATCATGTGAGAGTTTGTTATAATCACTTGACATCCATTAAATAATAGGCATTAGATTGACTTAAATTAAATATCACGATTATTTGTCAAATAAGTGTGTCAAATTTATAAGTAGGATAAACCATTCCAAATAAAAAAATAACCCATTTTCACCCACTTTTTAAAAAAATCCATCCATAACTCATTTGAATTTTGCTACTTCTATAGGGTGAATCACCCGGCACACCGTAGTTTTTGGGTTATGCCTAATGATAGGATGCCTTTTTTGTACATATAATGAAGCCCAACTCATTTAAAATCCATTCAATGTTACTCCACAAACAAGTTTATTGACAGAAATTTAAATAGATGCACACTTATCGCATTTTAATTAATAATTTAAAAAAAAAAAAGAAGAAGATAAAAATTGCCAACACTTGGAAACACAATTTATCTTTGAGGACTGAGGCTATTCAAATAGCATCATTCAAATCCATTCATCAACACGGGCAAAAACATTCGCGCAACAGATGAAAATAGTACTTGTCAATAACGGTGGTAAACTTTTGAAGAAATCAATTAATTCGAATAGATTTTTCCTTCCCAATTGACAATAACATCTCCCCAAATCGAGATTCAATCCACGTACCGCTACTTATATTCACAGTTTTTATATATACATCCACTTTTAAAAATATAATATTACCTAAATGGAAATTTATGAAATTAAATCAAAGTATATCGTTCTAACTTTATCCATTAATATTTATTTTCATAGATTCTTTTAAACTTTTTTATATTCTTTTAGAGTTTATATTTAGCTAAAATTCTAATAATAATAAAATAACATCTTAATCTAAAACCATAAAACCCTAATCATAAAATATCATCTTCAGCAAATTTTTTTTTTTTTTTAAAAAATCAACACATTAATATTAGGGTGATAATTTTTTCATGACATGAAAAATGGAATATTATTTTTATGTTTTTTTAAGTATTGGTTTGACAGATGAAATTTCAAAATAAGTTTCAATATATGTCCAAATATTCTTACATTACAAAAAGCAAAAAAAAAAACTTAGAATTATTAGCCGAAATATGAACAAACAAAATTATGAACTTATAAGCTTAAGAAAAAAAAACTATCTTCGTCTAAAATTATAAAACACTAATTATAAAATATCTTTTTCAACGGAAATTTAAAAAAAATACATTATTAGAATTATAATTCTTTCATGATATGAATATTGAATATTATTTTTTATGATTTTTTAAATATTGGTTTAATAGATGAAAATATACGAGAAATTTCAAAATAAGTTTTAATATGTGTCCAAATATTCTTACATTACAAAAGGAAACAAACTTAAAATTATCAACCAAAACACAAACAATCAAAATTATTAGCTTATAACAAAAAAAAAAATCTTAAAATACAATGATGAGAGATTTGTTTGGTTGCTTGAGCAGTATACTCTTGATGTAATCCAATAAATTCAAGAAAAGAGATACACTATAACGCACCGACATAACAATATAGAAGATGAAAAGTAAGAACCAGATTAAATGTTGATAGTGATTGGGTGAATATTATGGGTTTTCTTCTTCTTCTTTTTTTTTTTTTTAAATTTTTGAAATTGTGTTAAGAATGTAATTATAGTGGAATGAATATATAAAATTTGTTAGGATTTATAATGTTTAAATGAATGAATTTAATAAAGACAATATTAAAATTTGACGTGAATGAACTATATATATATAGTAGGATGCATATATGAAAATTGTGGATGTAAATGGCGGCACCCTTCTATTCTCCCAAATCTTCACAACAAGCCTCAACAATATCTTCTACATAACTGAATTCAATTTTTCCCCAAATTAGAGCCAAACCATTTCTTCTCCCAATTTGCAAGAAACGGTTGCATATTGAATTCCCCATTGGGCAAAATGTTTACACTTTCTAAAACCGTTCCATTCGCCTCAGGGAGTGAATTTTATTTGGAACACAACACTCCGTTGTAGCAGTAATTACATATTTCCTTCTTGTTCAACAATGTAAAATTAGTGAAGAAAGTACTTATTTTTTTAGTGTGCTGCATGTGCATGTGTTCCCTCGTCTTCTTAGAATAGTTGGACTGAAGCAAATGCAAAGAAAATTCTGCCAAACGTGTACCAATTTTAGATCATTAGAATGGATTTTAACAACCATATCTCGGAGTTTTTTACAAACTGAGATCCAATTTGGGATTTTCAAGTAAGCCGAGGTCCATGTCAGTATATATTTGTAAGTATTATGCCCTAGGTCCAATCAACTTTGGACATAAATACTTTTATATGTAATTAATGCAATTAAATGGCAGATCTATTATTTAATTAATAGACAATTAAATAAATAATAGAGTCCGTAGATTCAAATATTTGTAATTTGTTAATCACAAGGAGTTGTGATTGTGAGATACAAATTACATCTGATTGAATCTTAAATCATCCGTGGTCGTAAGTAATAACGAGATACGGATATCGTTATTACGGATAGACCATCACGTGTGGCATTTCTTACTTGTGAAGTAAGTAGCTGATCTCACAAGTTAAAGTGTGGTGACACTTAAATGAACACGTGGATGTTTGTTATAGAACAAAACATTGGAGACCCGTCGAGAGATTCCACATG